GCGGGCATGAGCCGCCTGCCTGGTGGTGCTGCCAGATTATTTCTTCATTTTTTCTAGCATATTCGCATATTCGCATATTTGCATATAAATTCCAACAACGGTAGTAGTACTAGATGCAAGTGAGGAATGTAGCTTGTGTTGTAGGAACGTATGGTGACTCGGGAAATGAAGCAAGTGATCAGTAGCTTCTCCCTTGTCTGGGGTTTTCGGGTTTTCTGACCGCAAGCCGCGGGATTTGTCGTGTCGGCCTCATTTCAATGGACTAACCCTAAGGCCGAGTCTTACGTCGTGATTATTTCGGAGATTTTTTTCGCTCTCGGTCGAGGGGGGGTGGTCTGCAAGGGAAGAATTATCTGGATCCAAACGACCTTCTTACGGTTCCTCGAGACAGATTTTTTTCTCAGGGGAAAAAAAGGGCCGATTCAAGTCTTTATGAGTCACAACATGCTTCAGTTCACGGTTTTGGCTCGTGTGCGACCAACAAGACACCGAGTGCCCTGTTTTTGGGTCGCCTCCAGAGGGCGTGTATATAGTCGCACGCCAGTGACTGCAGTTTGTGGATGTCGTCGGCCAAAGGCCTCTCTCTGGCATGCGTTGTGGACTGATCACACTCGGAGCAACCAGAAAACAAAAGGCAACGTCCAGAAAAGTCAACATCGCAACACACTTCGGTTCACGTTTACAGGCCGTGTGCAATCAAAACTGGACAATACTCTCTGCTTCTGGGACGCGAGCAGAGCGTATGTGTATGATCACACGCCATTGGCTGTAGTTTGTGGATGTCATCGGCCGAAAGCCTCCCTCTGGCATGCGTTGTGGACTGGTAGCGGGTGACACACGAAGCAAACACGCGGTGGAACAAGAAAAAAGTCCAAAAAGTCAACATCGCAACACAAATCGGTTCACGTTTACAGGCCGTGTGCAATCAGAACTGGACAATACGATCTGTTTCTGGGACGCGAGCAGAGGGTATGTATATCATCACACGCCACTGGCTGCAGTGTGTGGATGTCGACGGCGTAAAGCCTTTCTCTGGCGTGCGTTTTGACTGGTCACATATGCAGCAGGCACAAAAACGGCTCTTTTCGGCCCAAAGGCAAGAACAGAGCAATGTGGCAGGGTTGACGTTGTCGGCTCGTGTGCGGCCAACACGACGCAGAACGCCCTGACTTTTAGATACCTGCAGAGGGTTTGTGCATGACCTCATGATACTGGCCTCTGTTTGGCCAGCAGACGGTGTAGTTCCTCGTTCTGGTACGATCGGGGTGTGACCAGGGGGTGACCCCCCCCAATTCCAAACTGGAAATTATCAGCCGATCCAGTTTGGAAAATGGGCCTATTTTCCAATGCGGCAGCTGGGATCCTAGGAAATATTCGGCGATTTGGGATTTGGGCGTTTGGAATTGCCCAAATTCCTCCGCGTAAGACGCTCAAATAATTATTTGGGCTGAGAAAAGGACCCCCCCCCCCCAAAACAAACTGGTCCGGTGAGAACCCGGCGTGCTCCGTCCCGGCTTTGTAGGGATGCGAGGTCAATGGTCAAACGACTACGGCATGCACAACTATGAGTACA